CCTGGGCCACAGAGCAAGACTCTGTCTCAAAAAAAAAAAGAAATGTAGATATTTAATTAAACTTGGATGCCATTAATTCCATATAAAGCAATGGTAAGAGAGTCAGCATGTGTTACTTATGTGTTGATGAAGATTAAAGTATTTTTAAGTCTCACTAAAAAGGTGGAAGGAGCCAACTGAGACACAGAAAAGGGGCTGAGGTTCTATTCATGCTGAGGTTCTTAGTTTCTTCCAGCTCTAACGTGGGTACCCAACTGCGTGGCTTTTCCGTTAGCCCCGATAGAAAATGTAATAATTTTTTTTTCTATTCTTAGGCTTTATCTACCAAGAAATGAATTGGATAATCCACATAAACAAAAAACATGGAAAATTTACCCACCACAATTTGCAGTGGAGGTACTTTTTTGTGAGAAGTGACTTACAATTTCGTTGTAGCTGGATCCGATTAAGTATAGTTTCCCCTTCCCCTTCTGGGAAAGAATTATGTTCTTTCCAACCCCTGCCACATGTTCATATGTCCTAAATCTTCCTTGATGATATATCTGTATTTATATATGTTTACATATGTTCTTGATAAATCTATTAAATATATAGAGATAAAATGTCAGTTTTTTTTTCTTTTTTGAAGGCACGTACTTCACATTTTCCGTCTTGTATTTACATAAATTTGGAACACAGTATGCAGGAACATTCGGCATCATTTTGAAGAACTTTGAAATAGAACTTTCATATCAAAGACTTGAGATATTTAAAAATTGTGATTGCCTAGCACCCACTTACGTATTTTTGGTCAAGTATTTATTCCCTGCTGTGGTTCACATTTGTAATTTCAGATTGATTAGAAAGCTAATTTATATATTTTCCTTCCCCTTCATTTACAAACTGTTAACAGATTGGCAACAAAGACTAAGTTTTAAATCCGGAAGAGAGAAATGTTTCACACAGGCAGTCCCCCACCTCCCAGCACACCCTCTCTCTTTCCAGACATTCAATAGGTAGCTTACTTAACAAGCTTGCCTTAACTACACACAGACACAGGGGTTGGGGTAAGAAGATTGTGGTAAATATGAAGGATAAGTAATCTTTGGTAACTTCTGCTTTTGTATAAAATTGTAAGTGAAGTCAAAAGAAATATGTGTTCTTAGAGTAATCTAGGCGTATTACTTTGAAATCCACTACTCCTGCTCACAACCAGCTTCACCTAAGCTTGGGGGACTCTGAAGGGAGTTACCTTTTCGTTACAAACACTGGTTAGCCTTATGTCTACAGGAAACCACTATTATTTCCTCTTTGGTGCTGGATGCTACTTTAACAAATTTTTTATTTGTATTTTTTATTTTTTGAGACAGCATCTCACTCTGATTGTCGAGACTGGAGTGCAGTGGTGTGATCTTGGTTCACTGCAGCCTCAACTTCCCAGGCTCAGGTGATTCTCCCACCTCAGCCTCCCGAGTAGCTGGGAGCACATAGGCGCATGCCAGCACACTCGGCTAATTTTTTGTATTTTTAGTAGAGACGAGGTTTTGCCATTGTTGCCCAGGCTGGGCTCAAATTCCTGAACTCAAGCAATCTGCCTGCTTCAGCCTCCCAAAGTGCTGGTATTACAGGCATGAGCCACCACGCCCAGCCTGTGGGTGTTACTTTATTCAAAATACCTTTTTTGCCACTGTATCTTCAGGCCGTGATTGTCCTTGAAAATGTTCTACTTTGGCTTTATTGACATTATTCTTATTTGAATGATTTTCCTTTTATTGGCAAGGCCCTCAACAATCTAGACCAAGGTGAGTTCATCAGGAAATGAAAGGTAACAACTGGTAAGACAAGTGTCACTGCTAACACACGATATACTCATTTCTGAAAAACCCCGCACTCTACAGAAAGCACCAAAAGAAGCAGCAGTTCATGAACAGGGTTTGAGAGTTCAGGGCAAATCTCTCCAGCATAGCAACTTTGTAACCAGCACACTAACCACTCGGACCACCCACGTCAGCAGCTCAATGTCTGGAGTTTGCCATAGCAGCTTTTTAATTTTTGAGTGGAAATAGAAGAATACTTGCTGTAAGGGCTGTGAGTACCAGAGTGGCACAGAGGAGAGTAGAGCCCTGAGCCATGGTAGGCATGGAAGGCAGCAACCTGCCAGGAGCCAGGAGCCCCACTAGGCTGGTGAGCGGCCTCACTGCAGGTGATTTGTTTCTCCTCTAAATATTCCAAAAAAAGTTCCAACGGCCAGTGCAGCAGCCTAACTAAAGGCCTTTTTCCTTTACTCCCCCTGATTTGGCTCCCCTTGGAGGAAAAGATCATAGAACATACTTTCAAATTCCTTTCATGTTAATATTAAACCCTGCCATTCATATGACAGAAACATGTGTAGGCACAACATAGGTTATACTATTTCCTTTAGAATTCACACAGCAATAATCTACAGAGGGCAGATTAGGTCCTGGGTTTAGGTGAATAGGGAGGAAAATACTTAGCTGGCTCAGTGAAGATTGAAAGTCTGTCTTTTTCAGTACTAGAAATACAGGAAGGAAGGAAACGCCCTTTTTTATTTTAAGAATTTCACTTTTTGAAATAAGGAGATTACCATTAAGGTTTCTCTTCCCCAGACCTCCAAGACCCACCACAATTTCTGGAAATTATGAGTTGTCACACTATTCTGCTTTTGTTTATTCAAGGAAAACTTGTTTAAGGCCTCTTTGGGTATTGCTTTCTTGTAATACAAAACGAATGATTCTTTGAACAACTCAAGAAACTTAGATCAGAATGATACTCGTTTTAAATGTTTTAACTTTAATTTTACATATGGGGGTATGTGTGCAAGTTTGTTACATCAGTATATTGCACCCCGTTAGTGAGCACAGTGCCCAACAGGTGGTTCTTCAACCCGCATCCCTCTCCCTCCACCCCCCTCTAGTAGTCCACAGTGTCTACTGTTCCCATCCTTATGTCCAAGAGCACCTGTTGTTTAGCTCATCAGTGAGAACATGTGGTATTTGGTTTTCTGTTCCTGCATTAATTTGCATCTATGTTGCTACAAAAGAGATGATTTCACTCGTGTTTTTGGCTGTGTAGAATTCCACGGTGTGTATGTACCACATTTTCTTTATCCCGTCCACCATTGATGGGCACCTAGGTTGATTCCATATCTTTGCTATTGTGATTAGCACAGCAATGAACTTATCAGTGTGTGTGTCTTTGGTAGAATGGTCTTTATTCCTTTGAGTATATATCCAATAATGGGATTACTGGGTCAAATGGTAGCTCTGTTTTAAGTTCTTTGAGAAATCTCCAGACTGCTTTCCACAGTGGCTGAACTAATGTACACTCCCACCAACAGTGTATAAACATTCCCTTTTCTCTGCAGCCTTGCCAGCATCTGTTGTTTTTTACCTTTTATTAATAGCCATTCTGACTAGTGCGAGAGGATATCTCATTGTGGTTTTGATTTGCACTTCTCTGACAATCTGGATATTAGACCTTTGTTGGATGCATAGTTTGCAAATGTTCTCTCCTGTTCTGTAGACTGTCTGTTGACTCTGTTGATCGTTTCTCTTGCTGTGCTAAAGCGCTTTAGTTTTATTAGGTCCCACTTGTCAATCTTTGTTTTTATTGCAATTGCTTTTGGGGATTTAGTGAAAAATTATCTCCCAAGGCCAATGTCAAGAAGGGTATTTCTGAGGTTTTCTTCTAGGATTTTTATCACTTGAGGTCTTACATTTCAATCTCTCATCTATCTCCAGTTAATTTTTGTATCTCATGAAAGGTATGGTCCAGTATCATTATTCTGCATATAGCTAGCCAGTTACCCCAACACCATTTATTGAATAGGGAGTCCTCCCCCCGTTGCTTGTTTCTGTCAGCCTTGCAATATCAGATGGTTGTAAGTGTAAGACTTTCTGGGTTTTCTACTCTGTTCCATTGGTTTATATGTCTGCTTTTGTACCAGTACCATGCTGTTTCGGATACTATAGCCTTATAGTTTGAAGCCTCCGGCTTTGCCCTTTTGCTTAGATTTGCTTTGGCTATTGAGGCCCTATTTTGGTTTCACATGAATTTTACAATACTTTTTTCTAAGTCTGTGAAAAATGACATTGGTAGTTTGATAGAAATAGCACTGAATCTGTCAATTGCTTTGGGCAGTATGGCTATTTGAATGATACTGATTCTTCCAATCCATGAGCATGGAATGTTTTTCCATTTAATTGTGTTTTCTCTGATTTCTTTCCGCAGT